GAGTCCAAGTCATGAGACTCGAGTCCACACCTCTGCAAGAGACTAGTCTATTCAGTGGCTGCTCAGTCCTCAGACTGTGCTGACTTCACAAAAAAATGGCATACAGTCTTCTTAATGGATGAGGGTCAAGGAGATGGCCTTGGATATATGGACATACGTGCTTATTATTTGTGTGCATTTACAATTAGGATCATAGTTAGACAAGAACGTAAAAAACAAAGAGAACGTTTTGACGTTTCTGGAACCTAACCTGGGGTAGGTATAACAAGCCTCCAGTCACTAGGTGGCAGCAACTCATACAGTGGTTTGTACATATAGAAATATACATGTTATGTACTAGGTTCTCTACAGGTTCTCAGACTACAATATTATCAGAATCTAATGACTGTAATAAAAGTAATGAATTTCATCTCCTTCTTCCCTCTGCCTTTTTAGGAAGTTCAATCAAAACTTTGTGGCTCAGCTCTGGTACTTTGTCAAGTGTATTTATTTTGGCCTGTCAGCCTATCAGATCCGGTGTGGATATCCCACCAGAATTTTAGGTAACTTCCTTACCAAGAAATACAACCACCTCAACTTGTTTCTCTTCCAAGGGTAAGGTCCAAACGCAAGTGTAGATTTTTTTTGTTTGCAAACATTTGCTTCACACTTATTAGTTCCTTCTGCGTGTCTTTGTTTTTTTTTTTTGCATGTGTTTAGGTTTCGTCTTGTCCCGTTCCTTGTTGAGCTGCGAGCGGTGATGGACTGGGTTTGGACGGACACAACTTTGTCTTTGTCAAACTGGATGTGTGTGGAGGACATCTACGCCAACATCTTCATCATTAAATGCAGCCGTGAGACAGAAAAGGTGTGAAGTTCGGCATCGTAGCGATGCAACTGATTATTTTCATACAGTGGAACCTCGAGATACGAGCGTCTCGACCGTACGAGTATTTCAAGATACGAGCAAGCCTTTGATATACGAGTAAATATTTGAGATACAAGCACACTCACAGACAGCGACGCCAGATGGCCAAGCACTCGGAGCAGCGCACGCCGCCTCACCCATTCATTTCACGTGTTCGTCGACTTCCGTAAGCATCTACTGCGCTCCCGCGAGTCTTCCATATTGTGTTTGTTTTATCTATGTGATTTTCTCTCTGTTTTGGCCATTATTCTTCCTAATAGTGATGAGTCCTAAGAGAGTGAGTGTTAAAGATGGTAGTGAGATGAAGAAACGCATGATGACAATAAAAATGAAGCACGTAATTTTCCATAAATATGACCGCGGTGCCCCGCTAAAGAAAGAATACTGATCGCAAAAAAGCAAAGAAAAAAAAAATAGAAAAGTAAAAAAAAAAAAAAAATACATAACTTAAGTGAATTAAGTTTACGTAAGTTACGTCATGTTGGTGTAAAGTGCTCCTCTGCACATGCCACCATTAGCCGCGACTGTATCGTCTGTCTCCAAGGTAAGAACTCATAATTAAGAGAGTTTTTTAGAGGGTTATTTCTTATGGGGAAAAAATGATTCGAGATACGAGCACCTCGAGTTACGAGCTCGGTCCTGGAACGGATTATGCTCGGATCTCAAGATTCCACTGTATGTGTAAGAATGTGAAGGCTGTTTGATGACAGTAGCTCCTGAGAAACAAATGCAGTACTTGCCAATGTGAGGAGAAAAGTGTTAATAACTAGATGTTCTCTATTCCTTTAAATCCAGAAATACCCACAGCCCAAAGGGCAGAAGAAGAAAAAGATTGTGAAATACGGAATGGGAGGTCTTATCATTTTTTTCTTGATCTGCATCATCTGGTTTCCTTTGCTCTTCATTTCACTGGTCAGATCAGTGGTGGGTGTGGTCAACCACCCAATAGATGTCACAGTGACTGTAAAGCTCGGAGGATATGAGGTAATTACTACATAATGTGATAAACTAATGAGTAAATCACTATTATGTGGAGTACTAACGTGTAGTAAATATACTTTCAAATTAAACATTTTTGGTGTATTATATACAGATGGACAGTGACACTTCATAAATAAATGTATGAAATATTATCTGATTTTGTCCCCAGCCTCTCTTCACTATGAGTGTGCAGCAACAGTCCATTCAGCCCTACACGGAAGACGAATACTCGGCACTCACGAAAAAGTTTGCGGACAGTGCTGTAAGGACTGAGAGCATAACAGATAATACACTCTTTTATATGTACTGCTACCTAGTACACAAAACAGGGAGCGTCTGTTCATCCATACTTCAGACATCCATCCATCCATCCATCCATTTTCATCCACTTATTCGTTACCATGTCGCGGGGGCAGCAGTCTCCACCCAAATCACATTGCACCATACCAACCCCCCAAACCTTCCTGCGGGTGGTGAGTCCCAGAGGTGTGGACTCGAGTCGCATGACTTGGACTCGAGTCAGACTCGAGTCATCAATTTGATGACTTTAGACTCCACTTGTTCTTCACAAATGTAAAGAGACTTGCCACTCGACTTGGACTTTAACATCAGTGACTCGTGACTTCACTCGGACTCGAGCCCTTTGACTCGACAAGACTCGATACTTTCTCCAAAACCCAAAGTGATCTGTGTAAATGTGTTGTTATTTTGTTTGAAAAGGACTAGAAAGGACTCGAAACAAAAACGGCAGGACTTGGGACTTGACTTGACACTTTTCAGTCTTGACTTGGACTTGACTCGGACTTTGCCTGTCTTGACTTGAGACTTGACTCGGACTTGAGTGCAAAGACTTGAGACTTACTTGTGACTTGCCATACAATGACTTGGTCCCACCTCTGCTGGTAACTTGTATATGTTTATCTGTACAACCAAGCATTACAGCAGTGATACACTTATGTCCAGCGTGCCATATTCCATGGGATGCCCCTCATCCCCAGTGGCACGTTTCATAGCTGTCCACTGTAGTGACCGTCATGCATGAAAGGGATATACTGTATTTATATACATTTTATGGCTGGTGCGACTCGCACAAAGCCAAAAGCAACTTATAGTCTGGAACATATAGTACTTTAACTTGTTTTTTGCAATAAATGAGGTTACGGTTATTCCTCATCCCTGCTGTAATTTACACATCTGTGTAGCGTGGTATTTACTAACTTTCTTATCTCTGTGTAGGTAGCGATGCAGTTCATCACACTGTACAGTTATGACGACATTGTGACAGCCATGATAGAAGGGAGTTCAGGATCAGTGTGGAGGATCAGCCCCCCCAGCAGACAGGAGGTCATTAAAGAACTACTTGGAAGTCCTGTTGACTTAACACTACGCCTGGCCTGGACTTTCCAACGGTAATATCTTCTCTCCTAACTAAAAAAAAAAAACACTGTCACTCTCTTTTTTTTATAATCATAATTATAACCAACATGGGTAATTTAAGACCAAATTAGTTGACAACACAAAGTTTTTTTTGTTTTCTCCGTCACTGTCATTATGAAATATATGTCATGCAATTATGAAAAAAGTTTAATGTTAAAACTCTAAATCTCAGCGATCTGGGTAAAGGAGGCACAGTGGAGCACACGTTTGACAAACACTCAATAGACCTGGAACCTGGAAACCCAGTCAGAGCGGAACTGGCTTCACTATTGGTTGGCAATCGCACAGAGCCTGTGTAGGTTTACCGGCAGTATGTATGCGAAGTATACAAAAATGTGTTGTGTTATATTTTTCATTCTAAGTTTGTCTTACACAGGACTTTTCTCTCTCACTCAGGCTTGTCCCTAACATGTTCCCAAACTACATCCGTGCTCCCAATGGAGCTGAAGCCAAACCAGTTAATCAGCTTTTTAAAGGTCAGAGGGAGATTGAAAGACTGCATTCAAAGTGTTTTTTAGAGTATAAAAAAATGTTTAAAATGTTTCAAACTTGACACTGACACTTTTTTTCTTTAACATTTATTTTGAATGTATTAGAACTCTTTAACCGAGTCGTAAACTTTGTGTTCATTTCACACCCTCATCGTCATAATTTGCAGTTATTCTTAGAAAGTGATCATTCAAACATCCTTATTAAATCAATCCTGAAAAAAAATCAACACTTATAACACAACAGTATTGCGAGGTCTGGACTGCTATAAATGAGTCTTTGTATTTGTAGTAACATTTGTGTTTTTTTTTCTCTTAGGTAATGAAGATGGATACCTGAACATTACTCTGTCTCTGATGAATGACAGGTCACTGAATTACAGCAGAAATCAGGAGTGGTGGGACATTGCTATTGCAGGATGTGCCCCTTCCTCATGTGGGGTACTGCCTATGATAATATTCAATGACAAGGTCAGTCCTCCTAGTCTGGGCTTCCTGGCTGGATACGGGTAAGACACACACACAGACAGACACCCACACACATGTACGCACTTTCTTGAACACTGGCTGGATACGGGTAAGACACACACAGACACACGCGTACGCACTTTCTTGAACAAAAAAAACCCACACTGTCTTTCATTGTCTTTCTACAGGATCATGGGTCTGTATGTATCTGTGGTCTTAGTCATTGGGAAATTTGTAAGAGGCTTCTTCAGTGAGATCTCCCACTCCATCATGTTTGAAGAGCTGCCGTGTGTAGATCGCATACTGAAGCTTTGTACAGATATCTTCTTGGTAAGTGTTATAATCTTGGGCCAAGTTTATTATTACGCCATTTTTTTATATATGCATTTACATGCATTTAATGCACTTCTCACTGCACTTCTCACTAAAACAGCCTTTAATAATACTTCCTAAAATCCATCATTGATATAAATGTATTTCAGGTGCGCGAGACAGGAGAACTTGAACTTGAAGAGGAACTTTACTCCAAACTCATCTTCCTTTATCGATCTCCGGAAACAATGATTAAATGGACCAGAGACATCCAGAGCCGGGACTATGACAGATACTGACCCACAGAGCAGTAATCTTCGGCTTTGGCAGAGCACACTAATATGTGAAGCACACTACGCAGACTTCCAGCAGAAGGCTTGTGGAAAGACTTTTTTGATCCTTGAGGCGATGTTGATTTTCAAGGGCAAGACATCCATGAAAATGGTTGGAGAACAGAACAGAACAGAAACCCCGTGGAACCTGTCCTGTTGATGTTGCTATGGTGATTTCATTTCTTCGTCTTACACTACAAAATCTTGGGAGCGCTCTCCCTCTGTAGATGTTACAGACGGCAGATGAAGTTTCACAGGATTCAACAAATGCGTTCCAAGTCATTAACTCGAGCCGAGCTGAAAGCATAAAGGTCAAATTGTAAATGTTTGTTATCACTGACCTTTGTGCATTTCAGGCACAAAAGAGGTGTGAACGTATGACAGAAGCCTGGCCTTTCAGAAATACAGCTGGGGTTGCTCTATCTATATGTCCGTTGATGTAGAAGAACTCTATGCCGTCAATCATGTTGAAAGCAATTATATCGAGTCAGATCATTTCAGCGTATCTTTAGTAATTTATTGTTCTAGTTTGACATGAGATGTTGCATGTCCCAGATTAAGGGACACCAGATAAAACAAGTTAGTAAGAAATCAAAGTAGTTTATATTGAGCTCCGTCTGAAGATGTGAGCCTGCTACTACACAGAATAACAAGAAGGGCATAAACATTTCAAAAATAAAATTCAAAAATCTTCTATGAGATGTGCAATGCATGGGTGATGGATTTCATTGTCCTGAAGGAGACTCAGGAGGAGACTTTAGGCCTGAGGAGACTGGTTGATATTCACTATGTTCTTCTGATCAGATATAAAAACTTGAGGAGCCAAGATAATAACAAGGATTTTTAAATATTAGGGTATTTGATCATTTTAAATATGAAACAATGGAAAAAAACAAAAAAGACTACTGTATGTGCTTGGCACAAAAGTACTATTTCTTGAGTATATAATTCTGAAAGGGGCTTGTTCTTAATGTTTCAGGGTAAAATGTTGAGTTTTGCAACCTACCAAATAAATGAACTGGGTTTTTAGGTGAAATTGGATAAATCCCCACCAATCTCAGGACCCAGAAATCAACACATTATGCGCAAGTTAGACATAGCCTTTCTCAATCTTGAATGTTTTATTAAAAATGTTTTGAATACGTTTTTTGGGAGTAATTCAGATGTTTTCTGTTGTTTTTAACGTGCTAGTATAATGAAGCAGCTGAATTCATTCACTGTCCACTGTAACCTAAATTCTTTGTTCTACTACTATTTATGATGCTAAAAATCATCTGGTTTGTCTCCTGCAGAACAAACCATTTCAAACACAAAACACTTTAGCCGTTCAAGGTTTCACTGGTAGGGTAAAACTGTTGAAGGAATTCTATTAATAGCCGACGAAAGAAGCAGAGCATTTTCTTTTCACTGAAAAATGTTGTTTTTAAACTGTTTTTTAAAATGTAGTTTAATTTGTTTATGTTGCACAGGACTTTAATGAGATGATGTTGGAGTTGGAGCTGTTCTGAACAATCAAACAAGAACGTCAACAACTGTCTTTATCTAAGATTCAATCCCACTGACAGCTCTTGGATAACGTAAACCACATTGTATAAAGAGCACTGCGAAGTTTATTTTTTAAGACAGGACTCACCAAAACTAAAACATAAATATTCGGTATGCCCTTTGTTGAGTGGTTGAATACTTTTTTTTCCTTGGTGTTTACAAACTGTCATTTAATAACATTTGTCATGAGTCATGTATGTGAAATACATGTCATGGATACAATGGGAGCCCTGTACATTAATGCAAAAGATTGCAGTACGCAAATGTCTGTAAAGAATATCACATACACACGTAACCAGACCTACAAATAGAACAATCTTATCTCTATGCACCAGCAGCTGTTTTAACTGTTGGTCTTTACAATTCTTTAAATTCATATTTCCTGCTTTGTTCACATGTGCAAATATCTAGGGGAATACAAACCATTCAGACCATAGATTCAATAATCAGGACCTAAAAGTGGGTCCTGTAGAGTTTACACATGTTCAGGTTACACACTCAATGGTGCATAATCATGAATAAATGTCTTAAAAGGACCCTCGGATTTTTCTTTTACCCTTGCCCTGTGGTAGGGTCACCTCTCTGAAAGGGCTCTAAGAGCTTCCTGTAGTCCATGCAGAGCCGCAAAGACCCATCTTTCTTGGTTACAACTACCACTGGTGATGCATATGGACTCTTACTGTGCCGAATAACTCCTGCCTCCTCCATCTCTGTCACCAGCTTCCTCCCCCCCTGCCACTGGGAAGGGGGAATCTTGGGATAAGGCAGTCTAAAGGGCTTTGAGTCCACCAGAGGAATTTCATGCTGCACTGTGTGTGTGTCCATGATCCATATGATGCTGGGAGAACACACCTTGATTCTGGGTGGTTGCACCAATAGCTGTGGGTAATGGTGGTTTTTTTTTTGCCAGCCAGAATCAATGAGAGCCCTGCACTTTAACCCATTTACTTCCACCTCTCCCTCGTTCCTGGGGCCCACTAAAAGTGACTAAAAGTAAAGGATGGGCTGTGGGCGGCGTGTTTCCCTATGCAGGAGTCGTGGGCTGGGGTTGGTGGAAGACCGCTCGACAGACACAGGCAATGTGTCCCGGCTTCCCACAGCGGTAACATGTAACATTAGAACCCTGCCTCACCTGCACTGGTGTTGACTGGACAGTTAGTTGAGGGGACACTAGGTGTAACGGACATTCTTGACTCCAGCCAGGACAATTTGGCCATCTGTTTCTGCTGGTCTAGTGCTAACTTTTTGACAATCTCTGTTAACTCTGATAACTCAGAGGGTTGTCTCGTCCTCTCTGTCTTCAAACTGGCACCTCCCTCTGCAGTGACATGCACCTGAGCATATGGCTTCTTCACTTTGTGTTGGGGCTGGTACCTTTTTTTTCTGTCTCTTGTCAGGTTTCGGAGCTCCTCCTGTACCTCATGGAAGCTCCATAGCCTGGGTTTCTTTGGTGCAATCCTACCGTACGCATCTTCATCCATCGTGTGAGCTTCCTGTCTCTATCTGGAAAGGGTTTGCCCCCTCCTCCACTGCCCGTAATATCGCCTCTAATGTGATAGCATAAGAGCAAGCAGACTCCCCTGACATCTGACTCCGCTCATAAAAATCAGCTAATGGGTCCATAAGGAGCCCTGTGTGTCACCATACTCGGCTCTCGATTCCTCAAATGCTCTCTTGGGGGTCTGGTCACTAGGGGGCAGGCTCAAGACCAGCTTCTGAGCCTCTCCACTCAAGTGGTGAACAACTATAGGGAAACAAAGGTGCAGGGGGAGCTCTATTGAATCCAGGAGATACTGCATGGCACGAATCCAGTCCTCCATGAGCATCTTGCTGTCGGGGTGACCTGTAAAGACGGGTACATTTTTTTACCTGGCGAGTCTGCATCAGTCCTCCATAGGGCACGGGTGGAAGGGTCTGACTCATCATGGTTGAGGACAGGGGTCTTTGCAGGATCTGACACCGGCATCTGTAGCTTTATGGGGTCTCTGAAATACTCATGGGGCATAGGATTTCCAGCTGCCCATGTTTCATCCTGTGAGATGTATATGGTTGTGTCAGCAGATGGAGACATGGTGACAGCTTTACTGTCTGGTCTGACTGCTGGGGTGGAGTGATAGAGAGTTGTGGTGCCCGCTCCGACCACATGGTGATATGGGTCTGATCTGCACTGGAGCTGTGACCAGCTTGAAGTTCCACTGGAAATTGGGTGACAGATACCATTGCTTGTGGGGAAGCAGTATTGATATGCAGTATAAATTACACCCAGAGGTCAGGTGATGTGTGTGTGTGTGTGTGTGTGTGTGTGTGGATATTATGTGCTTGTGAGTGAATGTTGTGTCTGTTTTCTGACATGCAGCTTCAGACATGTGGTACAATGTAGTAGAATTTCTGATGTGACAGTCTTTCCTTCATGAGCATTAATAGTTTAGGATGCTGCCCACTTCTCACTGTGGGGACTGTCTCTCTTATAGCAGTTCTCCATCCATCCATCCATCCATCCATCCATTTTCATCCGCTTATCCATTACCGGGTCGCGGGGCAGCAGTCTCCACCCAAATCACACTGCACCATACCAACCCCCCAAACCTTCCTGCGGGTGGTGAGTCCACTGAAAGGTATTAACCGCCCTAACCGGGATTCGAACATGCCCAGGAGGTGAACCCTGGGGTTCCACATCAATGACAGAGACATTGCCTCTGGGCCAAAGCGCCACTCCATTTTCATTATCTCAAAGTAACTTTGGGGCGCCATCAGGTGCACTGCTTACCTAGATGGGAGTGACACACTGACTGAACCCCGTAGGGGTACGTCAGGCTCAATATAGCGGCGATAGTGTCCCCACCAGGACAAACAGTGTAAAAGGCGAATGAGGAAATGATGCTCCCTAGCGCCGCACACAATCCACTACCCTACATAGACTTAGCTGTGTCTGTGTGGGTCAAATTGGATGACAGCTTCAGTGAGTAGCTTTAGTAAGGCACAGTAACAGCGTTGTAACGATCAATAAAGTAGTTATTTAGATTACCCGTTACTGAAAAAAATAACGCCGTTAGTAACGCCGTTATACCCATCACTGGTTGCAACCCTGGCTTTTACATTTGCACACCTATATCAAGAATTTTACATTTTACCTCCTTCTATTTCTCGATTTCTTACTTTTGTTTGCTTTTTGTTCCTCTAGATACCCATGCTAGCTACGTTTGCTCTATGCTAACTTGCTAAAGGGTTAGAAAGGGAAATGTGAAACGTATTATATTTGCCCTCGCCGTTTTATTTTGTAGTTTTTGAAGAAAATGGAGAAGACAAATGTTGATTTAGGCCCATCACGATCGGCTGTCAGCAGTTTTTTGTTGGAATAAGCTTCTGGTATATTCCATTTGTTGCAAACACTTGTGAGTAAACATACTACTATACTGTAAAAAAAGAAAATATATACCCTGTCTATTGCTACATCCCTATTTGATTACTTCCCCTTTCTCCATTATTCGTCTGTTTTGATAACTTTTGTTACCTACCTGCTTATACCTACGGTTCAAATATACTGTTATGAATGGGTTATTCATCATAATTTAATCGTCATAAATACAACACTATGCCTTCAGCTTTAGTGGAATATCTGATTGGTGAGTTAAAATCAATAAACTTTCATTTGTACGGTAGTAAAATACAGAAGACCTATCTGTATATATACTGTGTCCAAGGCCACTTTTGTCTGAAAGCGCAGGTCGAGTGTTGACGACTCCCACAATGCCTCGCTTCACGAAGCTCTATGTCCGGTTGTGACGTGTCGGGTCTGCTCTCTGCAGAACCGGAAATCAGGTGCTCGGTGAGTGCACTGGATGTCAGCCTGATCTAGGTTAACAGAGTGGATCTCCGTCAAGAGTGAGGTGTCAACAATTCTGTGGTCACGAGCAGGAGAGAACATGCTGTTGTGGGTACTTGGAGCCGCGTTGCTGGCTCGAAGTGCAGGCTTCTACTTACCGGGTCTCGCGCCTGTCAGCTTCTGTGTGCCTGGGAACGACCAGGTTCCTGACTGCAAGGTAAACGCTACATGATACAGGTGACCTGGGGCACCGACAGGCACCGTCATACGACAGCTCAGGGCAAAAGAGAGCCAAGTCTAGAAACTTAATTATATTGCGTTTTATGTTTAAGATTGTAAACATTCGCGAGAAAGCTAGCTTATACTAACAGCAAAGCTAACGTTTAATGATAACAATAAGACACTCAGTTAGCGACGGTTGGAATGGCTTGACGTTATTTTATTACCTTAGCTTGCAGTATCACAAACGTTAGTATGTATTTACATTATGTAAAAGTCAGTCTAATATAGCGTATATGCAGTTCTCCCTGGACAACATCGTGTAACATAACACGTTACATCTCCTTAACATTTTAGCATACATATTGATGCGTGCTTTTTTGCAAAGTTATGAACGCTGGGTAGCGGGGGTGGGGTAAAGTCATGCTTGAGGAGTAACTGATATTTGTAAGTTACACAGTGAATCTCCAAATAATATAGTGATACATATTTCAATTTAAAAGTGTATCAAAATTGCACGTCTTTTTTTTTGAGACATTGACGGTTGCTCAAAACAAGCAATACAATTCGACGAAGTTGAATTTGAGATGATTTTATTTTGAAATATTGTGTTGCCAAAGTCCACTGAATTCGGGGATCAGTTTATTGAGCTTGATAAGTAGTTAATCGTAGTAAATGTTTGAAAAAGTTAATCAGTACTTACAATATCACAATTAACAATGTTTCCCCTTTTAACCAAGTTACTACATTTATAAAAATACCAGCCTATTAAATTGCAGTCAAGCATGTGTTGATTGCTCTCTTTTACAGTGTGTGTTACCCACTGTGTTTGTCAGCCAGCTTAGAACAGGCATGGGCAAACTACGGCCCGGGGGCTGGATGCGGCCCGTTTGGCTCTTGGCCCGCCAAACTTGTCCAAATAAAGTTATTAATTTCTATTATCATTATACTTCTGCCTTTTCCCTGCAATGCCCGCTTTTTTCCCAATAGATGGCGTAGAAAAAGGCTTTTTGCATTTTTGCCTTTATGACTTTGACTTTTTGACCCATTGTGGCGCATGAGTCAAAAAGTTTGCCCAAGCCTGGCTTAGAACATATGAGAGAGTTTGAGAGTTAGAGAGAGTGGTACAGATGAGTAGAGTTTCCACGTGAAACAGAGTCATACTTAAGAAGCTTCGGGTGACATTGCGTGGGGAGCAAAAAAAATCTTATTACAGCATCTAAACCCACGTTTCGGTAAGTATTTTTTTACCAAAAAGTAAATTTTAATTATTTAGTTTTTATTGATATTCTCAGCAAAAAAAAATCTCATTACAGCATCTAACCCAGATTTTGTTAAGTATTCTTAACAAAAAAAATTATAAATGATTCATTTATTTATTTTATCCTTTTTTTTTTTATCAGCACCCTTTATTTGAATTGAAGAAATACTGACACACCTTAAGTAAAGCATTTAAGCCTGCTGGGTGAAGTGACTTGTTTGTTTCATTAAAGTGTAAAGGTCTTGGCAAACTTGTTTTACCCATCTAGTTTACACCTCGTTTCTCTTTACTGGGATTTTATGTCCTGGTTTACATGATGATGATGATGATGATGATGGACAGACTGTTAAAACAGTAGATTTCACCTGGTTTACATGATGATGATGATGATGGTGGACAGACTGTTAAAAACAGTAGATTTCCTTGAGTGCTTCTAAACATTTCAGTTTTGCATACTGTAACTTTGGGACTGTTCAAGCTAGTTTGGGCGTTTGTCCTGATGCCGTGTCTGTTGTGTCTTTTTCTAGTCCACCATTGAGCTGTTTGTGAACAGGCTGGATTCAGTTGAGTCTGTTCTGCCTTATGAATATACTGCGTAAGTAGTATTCTCTGTTCAAGTCACCCGTTTTTTAAAAACAATTCTACAAGAACGTACTGAACGTATTTGCAAATTATTTTCAGAGCTTCAAGTTGAAATTTATTTGTCTGTTTTTGCATTGCAAATATTTCTCACTTTTTTAAATAGATCATTGCCTTATTATTCAAAAAGTGTGAATTATAATTGTAAATATTATGATTATAAGTTCAATAAAATTTGTGAATTTTCCAGTCATGGGAATCTTATGGAAAATTAGAAAAAAAAAGGTCATATGTCCTGGAAATTGTTAATTTATCCTGGAATGTTATCTATCTCCCCCCTGCCTTGTGAGTGAATGAAAATTGTTTTAAAGTTATGCACGCACATGTCTGTCGTCACCTCGTCTTAGGGGCAACATGTGACGCTACCAGCCAATCAAATTTGCAGTTCTGCTTCCAAATGTTTAATTGTTAGATTAAGTGACGACCTCGCACCTAGAGACAAAACTAACTAAGTTGAACTTTATTTCCTCCTGCAGCAATGCACTCGGTGGCACTTCATTGTTTCCTGAATAGAATCTGTCTTGTTGTGCAGGTTTGACTTTTGTTCAATGATAAAAATGAAACGTCCCTCAGAAAATCTGGGCCAGGTTCTTTTCGGAGAGCGAATAGAGCCCTCGCCGTACAAGGTATACAATTTACAAAGTACTCCTGTACGTGATGTCAAACATTTCCATTAGCATACTAATGCATTACGTGTGTGTCAGTTTGAGTTTAAGAAACCTGAGGTGTGTCAAAAAGTATGTACCAAAACCTACGACACCAGCAAATCATCAGAAAAATCCAAACTGGACTTCCTGAAGAAAGGAATGCTACTCAACTACCAACATCACTGGTACGTGCAATGCACCAACACATCCTCTCCTGTTCTGAACATATACATTTATATGTATTTATATGTATATAATTTGTATTTTGGGTGATCCTTATTAACAAACCTTGGCCTTTGTTTGTGGTTTGGTTTAGGGTTTACCCATTTATCAGCTCATGCAGGCTGCGGTGCATATTTGCAGCTTTTGGCTTATGCTGTCAATGAGGCAAATTGGCACATGTTTTTTTTTTTAACGAGTGTGATATCTGTGCCCAGAAACCAGATTGATGTGCTACTGCGGGTGGAGCTATTCTTTTTAACTTGGTTAATCTCCACTAACTAATTATCTCACTCATCCTCATTGTCATCATCTTTTTGCTTTCCAAGGATTTTGTGTGTAAATAGTACAGAAGCACTCAGGAAAAAAAAAAAAAAAAAGGGCTCAGTATCACGTAATTACATGATAACTTTCACGTTATTTCGTGCTAACTTTGACATTACGGTGGTCCCTCTCTGTATCGCGGTTCTGCTTTCCCTTCCTCTGTACATCACAGATTTTTTTTTTAATCCAACCATGTGACATTAAAAATGTTTTAATTTCCAATATTTTCGTGAAACTTTTCTAGTCTAAAAGGGAAAAACAGTATTTAAATAAACGGAAAAAAAAACATTTTGCAACACATACATACAGGGTAATTCATAACAAAACAAACAAAAAACCCAAACAAAACATGTACAGTATGTACAGTAGGAAACGGTTGGTTGAACATTTAATTAATGTAAGGTACCTCAATTGGACACAGGAGGGCACTGTTGTTTTTGTTCGACTGTTAATAACAGTGTGTGGAGGTTCGTAAAGGGTAAATATATACGTAAATCATATAATAACTCTCTTGACTGTACTTCGTGAATTTTCCCATTTCGTGGTGAGTCTTGAAACGCAACTATCACGATAGGAGAAGGACCAGTGTATTTCGTGATAACTTTCACGTAATTACCGTATTTTCCGGACCATAAGGCGCACCGCATTATAAGGCGCACTATCAATGAACGGGAATATTTTCATACGTAAGGCGCCCCGGGTTTTAAGGCGCATTAAGCGAAACGGAACAGTCAGCGAAACAATTTAGTGGAACAATCAAGCATGTCCGGATCTCTTTTGTTTTAGTCTGATTCAGTCTTGTTGCTGTTAATTAGCTGTTCAGTGGTGATTCCGGCCTTCGTGAAAGCTCGGACGACATTTCGGACTGATACCTTAGCCCAGGCATCCACGATCTATAAGCAGATAGTGGCGTAACTCGCCCGGCGTTGCCTCCCTGTCTTGGTGAATGTGTGTTCGCCTTCCGTCATCCAATGCTCCCACGCAGCTCACAATTTAACTTTGAACGCCATGTTAACACCAATATTTAGCAGTTGGAATTCTGTGGTTAATCCACCCGGAATGATGGCAAGCCCCGGATTACTTTGCTTCACTTGGGTTTTGACAATATCGGTGAGATGGGCGCGCACGAATCAATTAGGGACAGAGATTTGTGGAAAAGGGTGGTGACCTAAGTTGGACACTGGAGGGCGCTGTTGTTGTTTTTGGCCCTTCCAGAGTCAGGCGGTTGTCACTATTTTTTCTAGGTGGTCACCGTATTGTTGTTCTGACGCTGTTCCGCGCGGAAGTTGTTTTTTGCAGAGAGAGTGTGTGTGTGATTTGCCTGTATTGATAAAAAAGGAGAAATAAAAAGAGTTTTTGACCACGAAAAAACACAACTCCGTCTCCGGGTGTTTGCGGGTACGACGCGACGTTGCACGGATTTGGGTTACACAACCATACTGTAACAGTTGTTGTTGATCATCTTCTAATTGTGATAACAGAGTTAAACGTCATTGTTGGCTCACAGTGTGCTTCAGTTGTGTCTCATCATTGTGATGTGCTGTGTGGTTTGGTTTTATAAAATCGGTTTCGACCTCAGTAAGCGCAACCAGATGTAATACAGGCATACTGTCGTCCCTCTCTGTATCGCGGTTCTGCTTTCCCTTCCTCTGTACATCACAGATTTTTTTTTTAATCCAACCATGCGACATTAAAAATGTTTTAATTTCCAATATTTTCGTGAAACTTTTCTAGTCTAAAAGGGAAAAACAGTATTTAAATAAACGAAAAAAAAAACATTTTGCAACACATGCATACAGGGTAATACATAACAAAACAAACAAAAAAACCCCCAAACAAAACATGTACAGTATGTACGGTAGGAAACGGTTGGTTGAGCATTTAATTAATGTAGGGTACCTCAGTTGGACACAGGAGGGCACTGTTGTTTTTGTTCGACTGTTAATAACAGTGTGTGGAGGTTCGTAAAGGGTAAATATATACGTAAATCATATAATAACTCTCTTGACTGTACTTCGTGAATTTTCCCATTTCGTGGTGAGTCTTGAAACGCAACTATCACGATAGGAGAAGGACCAGTGTATTTCGTGATAACTTTCACGTAATTACCGTATTTTCCGGACCATAAGGCGCACCGCATTATAAGGCGCACTATCAATGAACGGGAATATTTTCATACGTAAGGCGCCCCGGGTTTTAAGGCGCATTAAGCGAAACGGAACAGTCAGCGTAACAATTTAGTGGAACAATCAAGCATGTCCGGATCTCTTTTGTCATTATCTGATTCAGTCTTGTTGCTGTTAATTAGCTGTTCAGTGGTGATTCCGGCCTTCGTGAAAGCTCGGACGACATTTCGGACTGATACCTTAGCCCAGGCATCCACGATCTATAAGCAGATAGTGGCGTAACTCGCCCGGCGTTGCCTCCCTGTCTTGGTGAATGTGTGTTCGCCTTCCGTCATCCAATGCTCCCACGCAGCTCACAATTTAACTTTGAACGCCATGTTAACACCAATATTTAGGAGTTGGAATTCTGTGGTTAATCCACCCGGAATGATGGCAAGCCCCGGCTTACTTTGCTTCACTTGGGTTTAGAAAATAGCGGTGAGATGGGCGCGCACGAATCAATTAGGGACAGAGATTTGTGGAAAAGGGTGGTGACCTAAGTTGGACACTGGAGGGCGCTGTTGTTGTTTTTGGCCCTTCCAGAGTCAGGCGGTTGTCACTATTTTTTCTAGGGGGTCACCGGATTGTTGTTCTGACGCTGTTCCGCGCGGAAGTTGTTTGTTGCAGAGAGAGTGTGTGTGTGATTTGCCTGTATTGATAAAAAAGGAGAAATAAAAAGAGTTTTTGACCACGAAAAAACACAACGCCGTCTCCGGGTGTTTGCGGGTACGACGCGACGTTGCACGGATTTGGGTTACACAAACATACTGTAACAGTTGTTGTTGATCATCTTCTAATTGTGATAACAGAGTTAAACGTCATTGTTGGCTCACAGTGTGCTTCAGTTGTGTCTCATCATTGTGATGTGCTGTGTGGTTTGGTTTTATAAAATCGGTTTCGACCTCAGTAAGCGCAACCAGATGTAATACAGGCATACTGTCGATTATTGAGAAAATGAATGACTTTTAAGTGCGACTTATAGTGCGGAAAAATACGGTACATGATGAATGAAAGTCCACCTGCGAGGCAAGAATATGGCTTGTTTAAATGATTCACTTCAGTTGTACTTTATGCCTGGCTTAAGGCATGGTGAGATTGAAGGGTCATGGAAGGCTCCACGCATACACGCTCCACCATCTCAACTGCAACCTAGATACCCAAAGTGCGAGTTATCACGTAATTACGTGAAAGTTATAACGAAATAATGTCAAACTTATCGCGTAATTGCGTTATACTGAGCCAATTCTTTTTCTCTCAGTGTGGCAGCAATACGCTTCTGTAGAATAGTGTTAAATCCATCTGTGATTGTGTTAAATGCAGAGGAATTATATGCCTATGTGTAATAATTTTTTTTTGTTTGTTTAATTTAATCATGTTTTTGTGTAGGATTGTGGACAACATGCCAGTGACTTGGTGCTATGATGTTGAAGATGGACAGAAGTTCTGTAATCCTGGTTTTCCTATTGGGTGCTATGTCACAGAAGCAGGACAATCCAAAGATGCCTGTGTGGTCAATGTAAGTGGGTCAAAGAGACCCGCATATACAGTACAAGCAGAATGTTCAAATCTGCACGTATATATTAACCTATGATGCCTTTGATCGAGTTGCATAAAGTGCCAGCAAATATAATTATTGCACCACTGCCATAGTTATCTTTAGATATTAGCATATTTTGTAATATTGACAAAAAGTTAATATGGGACTTCCCTAGTTTTGTTCAGACAGCCTGTGACTGAAGTTTGATGGACCATCCTGCAGATGAAGCTGTAAATCTGATGTTAGTGTCCTGCTTTCTCTAACACCCTGGTGTATTTGTTCTTTTATTGTTCAGTCAAATTTTAAAGAACCTGATTCTTTCTACATCTTTAATCATGTGGACATCACCATCAGTTACCACATAGTTGAGCATGAACAACTTGGAGCCCGTTTAGTTGCTGCCAAGATTGAGCCCAAAAGGTAACAACTGTTAGCTTGATATCTTGATATCATAATTTTTCATGTTTTGTGCCGCACCAGTGTTCTTAGGAATGCTGGTGTATTTGCATCTGAAAAATGTTTCCCGTTTTTCTCTCCTGCTTTTTTTTTTTTTTTTTTTTTTACATTCTGTGTCCAGTTATGAAAACTCTAATGAGGACGCTCCGGACTGTTCTGGAGGACCAAAAATTCTGAAAAACAAATTTGAAGGAGACTACAAGATCTCGTACACATATTCTGTCAACTTTGTGGTTTGTATAATCATTTTTATCTAATCTTATGTTGTTACAGCATCTTGTACTGTACACTTTAGTTGCACCTTCTTATACAGCAGATATCAGAGCTGTACAGTTATTCCCGTCATTGATCTGTCTGTTATTGTCCTATTATTGACTTCATGTTAATAGTTGTCTCTTCCCCCAAAATATCTGGCTGCATATTAAAAAAAAAAATCCATTAGTGTATCTATCTGAACAGTTTGTGGTTACTGCTTGAGCATCGATGTTAGAATTCCAACATGACCCCTCTAGTGGCTGTCAGTGTGAAAATAACATTGAAAATTAGTATTATTAATTATTTTAATATATAGGTCACAAGCCCAGCCAAAGGATGAAAAAAAAGTGCGACTTATAGTCTTACATAATACGGGAAGTACAAGAATATTAGAAAATATATTATTCATATTTTATGAAATATAATTTCACAAATCATCTCTGACGTGTGAAGTGTTTGTGCATTTTTTCACTTTTTCAAAATTCATCAAGCCGGGAATATTGAACCCCACAGTGGGCCCACAGTTTTGGCCCGCGGGCTGTATGTTTTGGCATCCCTGTTAAAACCAAACATTGATTTTTTGTGTGAATTCATTTGTTGTTTAGGAAGACAAAAAAATTCGCTGGGCATCCAGGTGGGACTACATTCTAGAATCGATGCCTCACACAAACATACAGTGGTTCAGGTACAGCTACATCCTACTTATAAGTCAAAATGTTGGAACACTTACAATCAGATATCTATTTCTTAAAAAAATAATGACAATTATTAATAATGACTCAGACCCCGAAATAAACAGTTGTCATTTCTTTCTTTTCTTTTTTTTTCTCCTACAGCATCATGAACTCTCTGGTGATTGTACTGTTCCTGTCTGGAATGGTGGCCATGATTATGCTGAGGACATTGCATAAAGACATCGCCAGATACAATCAAATGGACTCTGTGGTGAGAGCCAGTCTGAGTGAGATGGAGCTGTTGTTTTTTTTTTAAACCAACAAAAAGTATTTTGCTTTTACTAGCAGGATGCAGGGTGTGGTGGGGGGAAAAATTGAGTTTCCAATCAAAACGTTCTGTGCCTGTGGGCAGGACACTTAACCCTGCATATATGTGCGTATACAACTCATCATTGTGGCCTTTTGTGGCTGTCAGTGTGAAAATAACAAAACGTGTCTGTTTTCAGTGGTACAGGTGTAACAGACACTGGTACACAAGCCTAGAGTGCCACCTAGCGGCTGTCAGTGTGAAAATAACAAACGTGAAGTTATACATTATAATATTACATTACATTACAATACGTTTAGCAGACACTTTTATCCCAAGGGACTTACAGGGACTTACAGTCAATCAACATTCGTGCTAAAGTAAACATTCAAAATACATAAATAATAACAAATATCACTATTTAATAATAATAATAAATAATAAATAAATAAATAATAAATAATAAATAAATAATAAATAAATAATAAAAACATATATAAGGTATAAAAAATACATAAGTTGCACCTGAGTATATGTCGCAAACCCAGCCAAAGGATGAAGAAAGTGCGACTTAAAGTATGGAAAATACAGTAGTTGTAACATGTCTATGAAGAGTCCCAGTCATCCATGTCATGGTCAAGTTAAAAGTAGTTGTAACTTTAAAGTTAATCTCCTCAATCACTAACCTCAACAAATGTGTGCTTATTGTCTGTGAAAAGGGTGGCTTGCTACCTTTTGAAACAGCTACACATGAGACAGTCACATTCATGCTAGTACATGCTTGCAAAAAAAATAGTTTTAATCATCATAATTTTGATAGGGAGGTAAAACAACTCAATTTCAATGCAAAGATGTTTTGTTTTTTTTAAACAAAACCTGAAGCCGGAAGCCTCTTGTTCACAGGAGGATGCTCAGGAGGAGTTTGGCTGGAAGTTGGTGCATGGGGATGTTTTCCGACCTCCCAGGAAGGGCATGCTGTTGTCAGTTTTCCTCGGCTCTGGAACTCAGATTTTCATTATGACTTTCATCACATTGTGTAAGTCTTCACATAGCAATATTATTGTTTATTTTGAAAGAATAAACAGCTGCTGCTAAAACAGCACCGATGCCTGATGTCGGTTTTTGTAGGTTTAGTTTTAAAACATTTTAAGATTCCCACTGTCTCGTTGTATCCATTATATTGTATTTCAGTCTTTGCCTGTCTTGGGTTCCTGTCTCCTGCCAACCGTGGAGCTCTGATGACTTGTTCTGTTGTTCTCTGGGTTCTACTGGGAACTCCTGCTGGATATGTGGCTGCACGTCTCTACAAATGTAAGTTTACATAGGAAAACGTTGATTATCAAAAAAAAAAAAAAAGAGTGACCAGAATTTTTAATTAGTGTGAAAAATAGTACCATATTTTTCAGACTATAAGTTGTTTCCAGAGTATAAGTCCCACCAGCCAAAAAATGCATAATGAAGAAGGAAAAAAACATATACGAGTTGCTCCGGAGTATAAGTCGCACCAGCCAAAGGATGAAAAAAAGTGCGACTTACAGGAGTAGCAGATACTGCTCCACAAGCCTCGAGTGCCCTCTAGTGGCTGTCAGTGTGAAAATAACAAACATGTACATTTTCAGTACTACAGGAGTAGCAGATACTGGTACACAAGCAGATCAATCAAATGACAGCAAAAACTAGTGTGAGAATTATATTTATGCTACACTGTCCTTAACCAATCCGGTTTTTTTGCCAGTCTTTTGTAAAACATTTAAGGCATTGAACAATATGCTGCGTTACGTTTCATTCATTCATTCCATTAACGCAGTCCCTGCAATGGCACTGCTACACCCCAGGGTGCGCCCCCCCCCCCACTTTTTGAACCTCTAGTATAGTCAATCTTGCATAAAGATGTCAAAGTAAAAATAGTGGTTCCCTACAATGTACTGTTTTTCACGGAAATAAATCTGTGGCTTATGTTTAGATTTTACAAACGGATTCTAAAATGTTTGTGAAATAAAATTCAAATCTATTTAATCTGCAGAGTGGCTTATACTAGATTACTAAATTTTAAGTCAAGCAGTTCAACAAGTGGGCAAAAAAGAGGAGGATTTAGCACTTCAACAACGTAAAAATGTTGCAACAATGTACATTAACGTAACTTACTGTACCTTTTGTTATAAAACACTTTACTTGAATTTACTTACACATTTACTGTACATATGAGTGGATGTAAGAATAACTTCTCACTTTTTAAACTTTTTACCTTGCAGCTTTTGGAGGGGAAAAATGGAAAACCAATGTTCTGTTGACAGCTTTCCTCTGTCCGGGGTAAGATACGGTCTACACGGTCAAAATAATTTGTGAAATAATTGCTGTTTAGACATGTTTTTCATATAACAAGATCACAAGCTTCAATTATTTGAGGTCTTTGAATAAAACTCAACATGATATAAAAGTCGCCTGACACCTAAGAATTGAGGTGCATTATTCAGTGCTAAAAAAAAAAAAAAAAATACAAAAAGTGTCAAATTGTATTCTCAAAGCAAGTATTGATGAAACGTTTTCCGTCACAAAATGGACTCAGTCACAGGTTCTCTGTTCAGTTCGACAACGTTTAAAATCAATAAAAAGTACTTGTAATGAGGCGTTAAGTCAAAATGCGTTCCTGCGCACTTTCAGTTAATAACTTCTGCAAAAGGTCTGCATAATACTTCATTTTATTAATCTGTTTTGATAATCAAGGAATTATATGCAGAATGCTGGTGCCAGCAACTCATACAGTGGTTTGAATAGATAAATAAATATTACTAGGTGTTCAGTAGTACTTCAATTAAGGGGGGAGTAGTGCATAGCAAAAGATAATTGAGAAACAATGCCGTAATATGTGTATATCCACTAGTTAAAACCAACTTTTTGACTCACGGGCCACAATTGTCCTAAAATTGAACACGGGGGCAGATAGATGGAGAGTTCGTGTGAACTAAGAGAAATGACATGTAAAAGTCATGCATAAACGCCATTCTCCTTTTTGAAACGGGCAAGTTCAACTGGATGATAATGGTTCAAATTTCAAATCAATTATGCCACAGTTAACTTTATGTTTACATATGCAGTATTACAAATAACAAGCTTGGAGCTTTTTGGCTCGCTATAAAGTACTTCTAAACTATCGACATGCGGGCAATGGATTTCCGTTTCTCCTGTTCTGTCACAAAAACGCGATGTGCAAAATGAACAGAACTCGGATACATTTGTTACCATGTTTCACTGATCTTATTCTCTGTATACAGTGTGGTGTTTGCAGATTTCTTCGTGATGAATTTGATTTTGTGGGGTGAAGGGTCATCAGCAGCAATGCCATTTGGAACCCTAGTGGCCATACTGGCACTTTGGTTCTGCATCTCCGTCCCACTTACCTTTATAGGAGCGTACTTTGGCTTTAAGAAATCGGTGAGTAAAACCAAATGTTGTTCGTTCACATGTTCTGTTCCCACAAGTTACTGTGTGTTATATGTGACCCACGTCACCCTCTGCTGTTTTTGTTTGTTTTTTTTCTTTTCTCCAAGGCCATTGAACACCCTGTACGGACAAATCAGATTCCTCGTCAAATCCCAGATCAGTCTTTTTACACAAAGCCCTTTCCTGGCATTGTTATGGGAGGAATTCTACCTTTTGGATGTATTTTCATTCAGCTCTTCTTCATACTCAACTCCATCTGGTGAGCATAAATAAAAACGTCTACCTCTCCCTACACATGCCAGAGCTGTAGGTATGTAAATGTCCATTAATCGATTTAACAAGAGCACAAGTAAAGAAGCGTATCTAGTGACACTACAGGAAAAAGTAGATTTTACATTTTTAAGCGTACTTAGTATCAGATTGCAGTCTAATGAATTTATCTGGTACAGTGGTCCCCAACTCGCAGGCCGCAGACTGGCACCAGTCCGTGGGTTGATTGGTACCGGGCTGCACAATGCCGTTTTATTTATCATCTGATGCGGAACGATGTTTTATTTTGAAAAATAACCGGACTCTGTGCCGCATCTGTCTGTGACTCACACTTCAAGATGCTTGCCGCGGTCACAAAAATAAGAGTCTTTGGAAAGTTTCTTTGCGCAGGATAAGGAGACAGAAGAAGAGCCTACGTCTTCGAAGAAAAAGAAAGCTGCATTTAACATCATTCCAGAAGTCTTGCTTGAAATATGGATTTATTGCGACAGGCATAATACGTGGCGAAGGGCTCTTTAAATGAGGCAATGAAGCCTTCAGAACTGCTTCGCTACTCGGGAGACCAAGCGTTCTTTAAAAGACGAGCGTGATGCTACGAGGACACTGCTAATAAAAGTTGCATACGCAGTGGCGTAACATGAATTATTATATTTAGAAAATACCAGTTTTTATGCCTGTCGTATCATTTTATTTAGTTGTATTTATCTGCCCCACCTTAAAGGCTGGTCCGTAAAAAAAATGAAACTGGTCTGTGGTACAAAAAATGATCTAGTTCACTAGGACTCAGACACGTCTTCTTGTCCCACAGGTCTCATCAGATGTACTACATGTTTGGCTTCCTTTTCCTTGTGTTTATTATCCTGGTCATCACATGCTCTGAGGCCACCATCCTTCTCTGCTACTTCCACCTGTGTGCTGAGGTAAATTACTAGGTCAAATAAAAAAAAAATTAAAAAAAATGCACCCTGAACAAAATGTCACAGGACAAAATGACAAAATAATTGAGAACCACTGTGTTACTATGACACGGCAGTTTTGTTTCTGTAAAATTTGTTTAACCATGTGTCTCTGGTGTGACGGTAAC